AATTAGAGAGAGATCATCCATCTGCTGGTTTACTACCCAAATGGCTGAAACAGCTAGAGCTGGGTTGAATGGAAGCCAGGAACCAGGATCTTCTTACAGTTCTCCCACATGAATATAGGGGCCAAGGACTGGAATCATCCTCCACTGGTTTCCCAGGTACATTCCCAACCCATACAAAGCTGAAGCAGAAGTAGAGTAGCTGGGACTTGAACCAGCACCTGCATAGGATACCATATAGCCTACTATGCTATGGACGGCCCCATTACAATAGATATGTCCTTAAAGTATACAGCCTTGGTTACTTACTGATTTAATCCTACCATCAGAATATCTCCATGGAATCTAACCAGATTTTGCTCTTCTAGCTTTCAGTGCCCACAAACAGTTAACACATATATAGCACTTTTCTAATGCTACTTCTAACATTCTCCGTCTTTTCTCTTGGCTCCAATATGTCCTTCCAGAATACTCTTCTTGGCCTCACTGCTTATACGAGAAAGTTAAAACAAACTTTAGATTTCAGTAATTATTTAGTTCATTCTCTTTATTTTACGCAAATGGGCTAGAAGTTCCATAGAAGTGACATAATGCATTTAAGGCAAAACTAACTTCCTATAGATTTCTTATGGTAGAAATGGCCCTACACAGCCTTGTTATTTCCTGTTTGACCTACTTTGCTTTACTCTGAATTTCCTGGTTTTTAAAATTTATTTATTTGAGTTACAGAGAAGGAGGAGAGAGAGAAAAAGAAATGAATGAATGAATGACACCCTCTGGTTCACCTTCCAGGTGGCCACAGTGTCAGTATTGAGCCAGATCAAAGTCAGGAGACTGAAATTTTATCCCACTCTCTCACATGTGTGGCTGGAGTTCAAACATTTGGGGCATTTTCTGCTGCTTTTCTCAGGCTATTAGCCTGGGAAAGGACTCCTCCACTCTATAAAACTTTCTACAGTGATCAGTATACATCAGAAAAGTAAAATTCATCTCAAGATTATTTGTGCTTTCTGAAAGGTATTCAGCTTTACTAAAGTAATATAATAATTCACAAACCTACCATAAATATCTACATTTTGACTTCCCAGGGTCTCTTCCAAGTGTATTTGCAAATAAACCAATCAAAACCAAGAGAGAAATAAAGAACCACTCTGCAGACAAGCCCAGGTTTGCATTTATCCTGTACCAGTTATTACTTATGCCCGTAACCTTGAAGGTGTCTGCTAAACTCTCTGAGCTGCCTTGGCTTCACTTGTAAAATTAGATTAGTAAGATATATCTCTTGGGGTAGAGGTAGAGCGTACATTAAAACGTGTTATGAATTGTTAAGCACTTTTCAAAAATAGTATTATTTCTAAATCCCACAAGAAATTAAATATATGTAAGTCAGCTTCCTGCAAAAATACAGCCCTCAAGTGGCGCTGTGTAGAAATTCCAGTGTTGTGGCCAAAGTCAAATTTGCTTTGACTTTTTAAATCTTTTTTTTTCTTTTTGTATATAAATGACTCATAAAGTCCAGTTGGCTGGCATATCCCTTACATAATCACTTCTCTAGATCTATCTCCATAGTCTCTGTTTATATAATTAATAATTCCATTGAGTCTATACTTACACTATTAGGTGATGCTACTTCAAAATCTTCAAGAAAAAATGTAACAAAAAGATGTTTCTTTGGGTGTAAAAATGTCTGAAACGCATGCATATGCAGGAATGTATGTTAGGAAAAAGCAATCCATAGATTTCAAAATGTTGAGTTTTTGTAACTTTTTTGCTGTTCTTTTTATTTATTTATTTCATCTGCTGGATCATTCCCCAAATGACCCCAATTAGCTGGGACTGGGCCAAGCCAACACCAGGAGCCAGGAATTCCCTTCTGTCTCCCACATGAATAGCAGGGGCCCAAGCACTTAGTCCACCTACTGCTGCTTTCTCAGGTGTATCAGCAGGGAGCTGGGGCTCCAATCCAATGCAAATGGGACCCTGGCATAATGGGTGGTGGCTTAATCCACTGCACAAGAACACTTGCCCCTAACTCCATTTTTTAAAAAGAAGTATTTTCTTTATTTCTTTATTTGAGTTGCATAATGATGAAGAGAGGAATACTGACAGAGAAACAAGAAAAGAGAGCGATTATCCATCTACTAGTCTACTTCCCAAGCAACCCTAGTAGCCAGTGTTGAGGCAGAATAAATGCAGAAGCCAGGAACTCTATTCTGGTCTTCTATATCTGGGCCATCCTCTTCTGCCTTCCCAGGTGTATCAACAGAGAGCTGGATCAGAAGCAAAATAGCCATGGTTCAAATTGGCAGTACCTGATGTGGGATACCAATTTTGCATACAATGAATTAATTCACTGAACAAAAATGTTGTTCCCTCTGTGCTTCTCCATAAACCTTTTGAAGTAGCTGGAGGAAGTGTTAGATGGTCAGGCAGGTATTGATTCACAATACCTGCAGTTTTTAACATTTTTCACTTGCAGAATGGTTGTATTTATTGAGAGGGGTAGAGAAAATGGCAAGAGGGAGAGGGACAGGGAGGAAGAGAGGGATGGAGGAGGGAGGGATGGAGGGACAGGGAGAGGTTTAAACACAAGCGTGCATGCGCGTGCACAAGCGTGCATGCGCGTGCACGCGAAAAAGAGAGAGAGAGAGAGAGAGAGAGAGAGAGAGAGAACAAACTAAGAGAGCTGCAGCTGCTCATACACTCCACAAATGTTCACAATAGCTGCAGCTTGCTTAGGTTGAAACCAGGAGCTAGAATTCAGATTTCTCACTTGGGTGATAAAATCCTAGTCACCTGAGCCATCATCACTGTTTTGTAGGATCTATATTAGCAGGCAAGTGGAGTCAGATCACGAATTAAACCCAGACACTCCACTGTGGAATGCAGACATCTTAACCAGTAGGCTAAACATTTTCTGTCTGGAATGGATCTAATTTACATGGTTAGTTCAGTACTAAATAAAATATAGCTGCCTAGTTTCCTATTCAAGCTTTCATTCCTGCAAAGATGTGCGCTATCTCTTTGCCACTAGGGCTTACATAACATGCATTTCAAAGATTGGAACAATGATTCTGAAATAAGCAGAAGCTCCATGGCAAGTTTGAGCAGAAGAAAGTAAAGTGTAAAGAGCAAAAGAATTAACACCTGAAATACAAGAGAAGGGAAACCTGCCACCTTCTGTTTGGTCCAGATGTGTTTTCTATCAGCAATGAGCATTCTTTCTTTCTTTCTTTTTTTTTTTTGAACATAACATGAGCAGGGATGATGCTGGAGACTCCCAAGTGGAATGAATCCAGAGAGCAGATGAAAATATATAATGGAGCAAAGAATCCCTGGATTTTAGTCTTGACTGAACACTTAGTGGTAGTGTAACCCTAGTCTCTTTGCACCTTCATTTGCTTACCCTGTTAAATAGAATGCATCTGAGGCATCTAGGGGTTAGATGTTATAAAGCAACTTAGACCCTTGTTGAGCCCCTTGCTGCAGGCACAGTAAATATTTGGTAAGTGTTAGACACTGTAACTCCTTTGTTGTGCAAGAGAACTGAGAAAGGGGCAACCAGCGCAGGTGTAGTGCAGTGCAGTGCAGGCTGAGAGAGGCTTAAGGTGGTACCCTGAAAAGGATGGCAGTGAGCACTACAGAGCCAATTCCTAACTCAGCTACCCTCACTACTTGTGTCTTTGCCCAGATTATTTTCTAGCAAGGCTGTATTCAGATTCTGGAAGCTATTGGTAAGACTCAGAAGCATTTGGGTTATGGTTTTGGAGATTTTTGGGAGAGGAACTAGTCTAGCAAACATGCCATGGTCTCTGCTTTCTATTGAGAAATGCAAGCTTTTAAAGACAGAATGAAAGGTGAAATAATTTTCAAAACAAGGCAGACCTAGTGATGCATTTCTTTCATTGTATATCGTTGGTTATAGTATTCAACTGAAAACTTTTACAGTGCTATAACAGAAGGATGGGGACAGGGAAATAAGAGAACCTAGAACTCAGTAAGTTTAACAGGTTTTATGCCTCCAAAGTCATTTGCTTATATAACTTCGCATAAAAAACATGGATTGAATATTTACAGGGTGTTTGCACATTCACTTATCTCAGCTTTTCAACGACTTTTTAATGTAGGAACTTAAATTTTCATTTTACAACGGAAGGGAACAATGGAACAAAAAGAGTATAGATTTGTTCCAGATTGCCCGATTCCAAATTTGTTGCTTAATCACACATTCCACACTGAATGTAAATATGTTAGACATTTAGTAAAGCCTTTATAGAAGCTAGACAAGCAGCTGAGGCATCTCAAATACTCAGTTCAAGGTAAGTGGATTAAGTTACCATGCTAAACCAATCTTTCTAAATTATGTAAGTCATAAAGCATCTCCATCTTGTAAATGATATTGTGCTTTACAAGTTTGGGAGGCTCCACATACAACAATAATTGTCAAACTTGACCATGCATTAGAATCAACTGAAGGACTTGTTAAAAATGACTGAGTGTGTTTGGTGTGGTCTGAGAATTCACATTTCTAACAGGTTCCATATTGATGCAGACACATTTTGAGTTGCTCCCATTGCAAATCACTGACTACAAAACCATACTGAATTCCTAGCCCTATGGAAGAACAAGTTAGAAAATTTTCTTGGAGAGGAATTCTAAAGCTGAAAGGCATATTTTGTTTCAAGATTTAGTGGATTATAATTAGCTACCCATAAATGAATTTAGAGCTTCAAATATCTGTATTATCACCTGGATTTATTACAAAGGGAAGCTGAAGATGATAAATTTAATCTATATATATGTAGATATATATATATGTCTATGTGATACATATGTAAATATATGGGTACATTATATGTAATAATAGATATGTAATGTAATGATTTTAAAAACCTAACTAGTTTATATCTATGTTTCTCCACACAAATAAAACAATATGACTAATTAGCTGATAAATATGAATTTTCCTAAGGAACTTTTTTGTTGTTTTTCTACCTTTGTAGGTGGCAAATCTTCCCAAAGACTATATGATAACCCTCAACTATGTCCCCGGGATGGACATTTTGGTATGTAAATTGTTCATTTCTGAGTTTTATTTTAGTAATTAACAGAAGAGATGGGATAGGAAATAACCTCCCTTTTAAGGATGCGCTAATTCTCAATATTTGATGAAGATATTTTTGGAGTTTAGATGGCTTTTGGATCACTTTTTTTTCTTTGAGCACTCACTGTACAATTCAGCATATGTTTCTTACAACTATTCTCTTAAACTAAATAAGATCATCTTCTTGGAAGCTAGTCAAAGTTCTCTCTTTCCTTGATTATCCCCCCACCCCCACTGAAAATACTTGAGTACAAAATTCAGTAACTTTTTTTCTTAACTTAAACAATGTTACATATTTAACATAAGACAACAGTGTTTAATTTAATAGAACCTCTGAACTTCACAAGAAAATAGTTGATTATGAATACCATTCTGTTATTGAAACCACAAAGTTTTTAATACACAATATCAGAATTCATACATGAAGAAGATAAAATATTGGGCCCAGAGCAATGGGTCTAAGGTTAAATCCTCACCTTTCATGTGCCGGGATCCCATATGGGTTCCAGTTCGTATCCCAGCTGCTCCATTTCCCAATCAGCTCCCTGTTTGTGGCCTGGGAGAACAGTCAAGGATGGCCCAAAGCCTTGGAATCCTACACCCATGTGGGAGACCCTGAAGAAGCTCCTGGATTCACATTGGCTCAGCTCCAGCCGTTGCAGCCACCTGACGGGTGAATCAGTAGATGGAAGATCTGTCTGTCTCTCATTCTCTCTGTAGATCAGCCTTTCCAATAGAAATAAATAAATATTTTTATTTAAAAAAAGAAAAGATGATATTGACAGACATCACAAAACTTTTCAGGTTGTATAATATTTAGCTCAAATAGATATCTTCAGGAATGAGACATGATGAGTAAAGCCTCTTGGAATATGATCATTTTCTACCTCTTACTAGTTCTCACTTTCTTTTTTCGGGGTAACAATTATTTTGCATTGGAATTTGTCAATTCCTGGTTTCAGGGCTTGCCATGAGGGCAGCATCTTAGAGTTGTATGGAGCTCAGCAACACCCAGCAGCCCTGTGTGCTCTTTATGTTTTTACTACAGGGTGTGTACTACTAGTGAAGTTGTTGGACAAGTTTAGAAATTTTGTGTTGAGATGGATAGGTAGCCTGACTGTGAAGACACTGGCTCTGCATCTCATATCCTGGTACCTGGGTTTGAGTCCCTGCTCTGATCCAAACTCCATCTGCTAGTCAGTGCAGACCTTGAGAGGCCACAGTGATACCCCAAGCCACACGGAAGGCTCAAATTGGGTCCCCAGCACTGGCTTTTGTTAATATTTGCAAAGTGAATCAGAATATAGAGAGCTCTGTCTGCATATCTGTATCCCCGCCTTTAAAATAAACATGTAAATAAAAATTTATTTTGATGTCATTGTACTGTGTATACCATTTTAGAACTTTTCTATTTTTCATAATTTCAACATGTTGTTCCATGTATATTTATTGAAACCACTGAATAGTGTTCCTGCGGTAACTTTAAACCACTTGGAGTATTCTGTACTTTCAATTCTCTTGTGCCCATCATTTACCAAACACTTATTACATATTGCATTAGCTTCTGAGTTACTTCTAGGGTTCAATAAATCAAAATTATTACCAATTTGAGCATAGTACTCTGTTTTTTGTGCTTAAGATGCCTTTCAAGGACTACAAGGCTATCATTGTAAGAGAAAGTCAAATGTTGTGTTTCTTTATACTACTTAGCATGAACTACCTCCAGTTTTTATCCTTAGAAAATAGCCTTAGATTTGAACTGTAATACTGCAATAAGGTGGAGTAATCCACCCTGGGGGGAGGGTATGGGGAGGGGTTGGGAGAACCTCAGAGCCTATGAAAAGATGTCATAAAATGAAATGCAATAAAAAATAGCAAAAAAAAAAAAAAGGAAAATAGCCTTAGAACATGTAGCTTCATGTTAAACAAGTTATCAACAAACTCAGGTCAATGTTCACCTTTATTGTGTTAGGGAGAGTTCTCTGGAAATTGAAATGTGAAATTATAACAGCCTGTGGGTGAATTAACCCAATTGGCTGGTCATGCAGTCAACAAGACTTTGGTTAGGAAAAGCTAGGGAGCCAGTACTTTCTCCAGGTTTTAAACAAGTACACATCTGTTAGGAATGAGCCTTATGTTAAAAGGGTTTAATAATTACTGGGAAGATGCTATCTGGCCTTTGGGTAGCAGTTTAAAAAAAAAAAACAAAATAAAACCGACACACTAAGTTTTACAGTGCAAGAAGTACTTTTCCCAAGGTTGTACAACTGAAATGGGAGAGTGATCTAAAGAAAGCTCTAGGTTATCTGACTCTTAACCCTGGATGGATTGAGTGTGGAGAGGTGCAAGTGCGGGAAGAGAAGTGTGAGGTCATAAGGACCCACCACTGCTCCCAACTGCACTGCCTTTATGCTGATTGCCAGACTTTGGAAGAAATCCTGCTGCTCTTTTTGAAAAGTGTCACCCTGAAAATAACTTCATAGATCATTTGAGTTTGTGTCATCACAGATCGGGCTAAGTCATAGATTCCGGTATTGGCTGGCGATAACCAAAGCCAGACTTGCACAAATAAAGCTAAGGTATTGCCACATTTTTTGTGCTTGTTTCTGTAACTGAGAAGAGTTGGCTAGTATTTGGTCTTGGCATGCTATTCTGGAACTACTGCAGAAGCACTGTTCTTGGTCACCAGGGTTGGCAGGAGAAACAAGCCTGAGCATGGAACCTTGGACACAAACAGGGGTCTTACCCTTTGTTTTACCTTCATGTTAGTTCTTGCCAAGAGCAGAGGAGAGAGGCCTCTGGTTATTTGTAGGGGTCAGAGCTCCAGATGCCTTATCTTTTGTTTTTTAAACAATACAGGGTGGAGTGTAAATGGATGCCAGAAAGCCCCCCTGGGACCAAAGCTGTACACTTCTGCCTTACACATTGGGCAGAAGCAAATTCTAGAATAGAATACACTTTTTTTTTAACCTTTGTTTTATAAATCAACCAAATACTCCTGAAAAGGAAAGTCCGCTCTTCTAAGGGCCTCCTTATAAAATTACCTACCAGATTCTCTCTCACAAATAGCAGGGTGTTATTAACCAGTTAGTATTTAATTCCAACTGTAATCAGCAATTCTATTTTAAACTCTTGGAAGCTATAATGTTGCCAGGCTGTGAGGTAGGAGTTTCTTCAACTTCTTAACCTTAAAAAATATCCAAGTATTTCTGTTCTTTGTCTTCCCTAGTGACGATATTTTTGAAAGAACAGAAAAAGTTGCTGAATTTGTGAAATCATAGGTGACTTATTGAAGTAAAAATTGACTTGTTGGTTTTTACTTGAAGCAAGTTATACATCATCAGTTTGGGAAATAATTTCAAATTTACAGAAAACTTGCAGCAACATTCAAAGAACATTCATATACACCTTTAATCTAGATTCTTGCATGTTTAATATCCAGCCTAATCATTTGCTTTAGCAGTTGTTTTACTGTTTTGCATGCATGTGTTTCAGTTACTTTTTCTGACCTCTTAATTAATTTCCATACCTTATGGCCATTTACTTCTAAATACTTCAGAGACAGATTTTTCTGAGTAAACAATAATTGTTTTATCTTAAACATGGTACATTGGCAGTATCAATAAATTCAGCAATAATTTAAAACTTTCATCTGTTGACTGGTTTTTCAATTTGGGCCATTTTTTTTTTAAAAAAAGATTGCCCCAGCTCTAGCGGTAGCTGCCACTTGGGGAATGAACCAACAGAAGGATGACCGTCTCTCCTTCTCTTTCTCTCCCTTTTTTTAAAACTCTGCATTTCAAATAGATAAACCTTTAAAAAAGAAATGCAGGAATGGACCATAAGCCATAGACCACAGTTGCCTATATGACAGAGGTGACACAGAGGCTGACACAAGCAAAGATTCTCCTTTAGAACTTTCAGAAAACACAAAGCCCCAATGAACACCTCGACCTCAGTAAGACCTACTTAGGATTTCTGACCTCAGTGATTATAAAACAATAAATTTGCATTTTTGAGTCACCATGTTTGTTGCAATATACTAAAGAAGCAATAGGAAACGAATATGCCAACTCGCTTTCATTTCCTTTAGTGTTTCTCTGCCTTTCTTAGTCTTCATGGCAATAAAATTATTCCACCTGACAATCAACCTAAAAAGTGCAGTAGTCCACTGTGCATTTTACACATGCCACACATTCCAGTTCGTACACTACATTTTCATCAGAAATATTCCCCACTTAGATGTTCACAAAGTTTACTGTGGGAACCACAGACCTAAGTTTTCCCAGAAATATTTTAAAGTCAGATCAAGTGTTACCTGCTCAGTCACACTAAGCACATTTGGAAAGTAGCTTCAGGTGCATAATGACTTTCAGATATAGAGACTAAAACCTGGGCCTCTGGTTCATCAAGCTTTGCTTTGCTCGCCACCCCATGCTATTCTTTTACTGCTGGTTTGGCTCTGCTCACGAGCCATTCCAGGCCTGCCCTGGGAAATTACAATGCTTGAGTTGAGTATGACTTTAATCACACTGAGGTTTCTTCAACACTTCAATTCAAACAAGAAAGTGCAGTTAGATGACTAAAGTGAACTCAGAGGACCCAAATAAACTGTTTAAGAAAAGGCCTAAAGTAAATCATTACAATTCCAGCTCATTCAAAAAGAAGATGTTGAAAATCCTTAACCTGGCAATGTGAACACACAATCATTTAAATTTACCTGCTCTGGGGCTGTTGTGGTGGCACAGCAAGCTAATCCTCTGCTTGTGTACTCACATCCAGTATGGATGCCAATTCATGTCCCAGCTGCTCTACTCCTGATACAGCTCCTGCTTACAGCCTGGGAAAAGCAGTAGAGGATGACTGCAATCCTTGAGCCCCTTGTACTCTGTGGGAAACTAAGAGGAAGCTATAGGCTCCTGGCTTCAGATGAGCTCAGCTTTGGCAATTGAGGCCATTTGGGAATTAAACCAACAGATGGAAGATCTCTCACTGTATGTCTCTCTTTTCACTATAAATCTTTCAAATAAAAATAAATAAATCTTTAAAAGTAATTAATTAGCTTGCCCACTGAATGTTTGCTAGTGGTAAAGGAGTGTCACCTGTCCATCCTTAATGGTAAACACCAAGGGGATAATAACGTCAAGTAATGGCAGTTAGCATTGTTGTATCTCTGTCAGGGGTGCTCCGAGAAATTACTTTCATTTCTATGACATTAGATTAGGTAAAATGAAATAATCCCTAAGAAACTTCTAAATTGAGCCCAATAACCATTATACGTGGCTCAAACGTAACAACACACCAGCAGAAAGCAGACTAGCTGTATTTGCCCTGACTAAATAAATGCATACATAATAGATGAGTGACAGAGTCTTGCATCCTAATGCTTCATTCTAACTTGTCATGTGACCTTGTCCTAGGACTTGGCTTTGCACTTACGTAATTGGTAAGACTGGAACATAAGACGTTTAGGGTTGCTTTGAGATCAAAAATACTATGATTTTACTGACATCATGAGGGCAGTCAGGGCAAATACAGCTAGTCTACTTTCTGCTGGATTCACTGTGACTCGTGTGTTCTTACATTTGGACCCCGTATAATGGTTATTGGGCTCAATTTAGAAATTTCTTAAGAATTGATACGATTATTTCATTCACATAATCTAGTGTCATAGAAATGAAATGTCATTTTGATGGTTTAGCCTCAACATTGATGCTAAGAATACAAGACTAAAGAAATTCTTTATGCATTGGCATTTCACGTCTCAACTTATGCCAAAAAAACAGATTTGACAAAGAAAACAAAATCAGCTGTAGGTGGGGAAGTATTATTGGAAACTAAGCTGGGCATCAAGGCTGGCTAATATTACTCAAAGACTTCATGGTTTAGCAGGCAGGACTTTTCTTCCTGAGAATCTTTTTCTCCTCAATACCTTTGCAAAGAACTCTTACAAGATAGAAGCCAACTTTTGGGCCAGTGAGAAAGTTTAGAGCTATTTTTAGTACAAATAGCTACCAAATAAATAGTGAAACTTGCATTTATGAAGAGATATGATATATTTTGCTCACTCTCAGCTTTTAGTTTGATACACTTTTTTTTGTTTAATTAATCTATTTGAAAGGCAGAGAGAGATCTTCCATTTGCTGGTTCACTGCCCAAATGCCCACAACACCCGGGGCTGGGGCAGGTTGAAACCAGGAGCCAGGAGCTCAGCTGGGTGGTGGGAACCCAAGTGCTGGAGCCATCATCTGCAGCTTTTCCTGTGTGCACCAGCAGGAAGCTGCAAGGGGAGCAGGCTAACCAAGGCTCTTCAATAGGAAATACTGGTATTCCAAGTGCCAGTTTAAGCTGCTGCACCGCCACGGGCACCCCAAATTCCACAAACTTAATGGTGACTGCTCTTACAGGCTCTCGGCATCTGACACTGATGCAGAATGAGACGTCAAACTCCTTCTAACTGATAAACCAGTGCAGTTTCTTGAATGAGATAGAGAAAGAATAAGTGAAAATATACCACATTATGAAATCCCCAGTGTCTTTTTTTACAGCACACAGTTTGGGAGCAGGGGGAAGGATATCTCAAATTTACCAACTCTGAGACTACAGAAGTGATAGATCATATTTCTTATACAATTTATATATCCTCTTTAAAAAATTATGCATGGGGGACTGGTACAGTAGCCTAGTGGCTAAAGGCCTCTGCTTGCAGGCACTTGTATCCCATGTGGACACTGGTTCATGTCCTGTCTGCTCCACTTCCTCTCCAACTCCCTGCTTAGAGCCTAGAAAGCAGTAGAGGATGGTCCAAACCCTTGGGACCCTGCATCCATGTAGGAGACCAGAAGTTCGTGGCTCCTTGCTTCAGGTCAGCTCAGCTCCAGTCTTTGTAGCCAATTGGGGAGTGAACCAGTGGATGGAAGACATTTCTCTCTGTCTCCTCTCTGTAGATCTGCCTTTCCAATATAAATAAATAAATCTTTTAAAAATTATGCTTGGTTTTAGAATATAGATGATATATTCATAGTTGATTTCTGGAAGCAGCAATGGTTTAGTTGTGCATAGACTATTGTTGATTTTGTTTATTTTTCATTTTATCTTTTATTTAACAATTCAGTAAAATTGTGGATCTGGTGTTCATGATTCTTTGAAAACCTTAACTCATCAGGGGAGTGACATGACACCAGTGTCAAGGAGATGATTTCAACATAATTGAGTCATTATTGTTATAGAATAATAATATGAATGAAAAGGCATGTCATTCCAGTAGTACTGGGAACAGTTAGATTCTGGCTAACTAACTAACTAGGTAACCTAGATAATGTGAGACAAACTACTAATAAAGCCAAGAAATTTTTGGATTGTGGAGTCAAATGAAAATCCAGACAATTTTTTTCTCAAAGTCTAGACTCTATTTTTTCTTTAGGAACTATGGGATACGGGTGAGCAAAATACCAAATTACATGTACTTCAGAAATTTGAAAACTCTTATTATCAGCTCTTTGACATCTTGTGTGACTATCAACTTCACTAATCTTCACAATCTTCCAGTGAAAAAGAGAATACTAAACTTTATGTTCTTCGAATGAATTGTTATGCAGATTATTCAAAGTTATTTAAGTTTAAAATGACAACTAATGGAAACTCTGATGATGCCACCCACTTGCTTGGTCAAAGGGAAGAAATACATATATGAAATTGACATTCTGTTATAGAAGATCCCAGAAAATGATATGTAAGAATATCCATATAAAGTTCCAGAAAGAGTGTGAGAAGAATGTTTTTTGTCAGACACACAAAAAAAATTTGAATGCTCACACCTGAATGATCTAGTTAGTGAAAGCTCTTTAGCAAGTAACTACTATTCCAAGAGAACATGCGTATGCTGTGTTCCACAGCCGGGGAGCCTTGCAATGGAGCTATCTAGAAAGAATTTCCACTGTTTAAAAGAATGCTGCAGGACAATTCAGCAGACTGACAACTTCTAAAGAGATCTGTTAGTAATGCAAGTATAAACTTGCGTGTGCTGTAGATAAGTATTCATTTAGCAAAATGAAGAATCTATTCTGAACATGCTTTGGAAGTACATAGTCTTTAACCTGATTGTGATAAGCTGAATTGGCCACTTGAACTAATTCCCATTGTGGAGTCGATTTATCCAGTTTCCCCAAGGTTAGAGCCAACAATTCTAAAAGTTTGAATGACATTTAATGCCTCCAGTAATTGGGGTTTACCGACTTATACATAAACTAGATTTCTATTTTGTGGTATGACATTAATTAATTGTCCTGTCAAATTAATATAAAATGGGTTTATTGAGCTTAGAAAAGGGTATTATTTTTTTCACCACAGAGATACTGTTGATAAGTAGATATGCTGGGTATTTTGATTTCTTTTACATAGCATGAATTACTCTCGTTTCACTATTTTATTGCAATAGACATTTTATTCAATTGCTTATACGAGCCAAACTACATTCAGTTACTATTGTTACATTTAAACTTTATATTGAAACTTTTTCCTAGAAATGTACTTCTTTTTTTTTGTAAATGCACCTGCCTAATATCTTTGGGTTTACCTCTTGGCATTGGCATGCAAAAAGCTAAAACAATCACTGTTTGTTCTTTACAGAAAGAATGTACTCATCCTTAATACAGAGGATTTTTTTATTTTTCACTCATTCGTTTTATTCACTCGTGTATCCACTCATCACCACCAGGAACAAGATTTAAAAAAAAAAAAAGTTGCCCTCAAGAAACTTATTTTCAAATTATCTATACCATTTGCTCAAAGCCACCTTTTCTAGAAGGTTCTGTAATGGACAAGCGCATGAGATTCAGAGTCATTGCAGCATGCCCCGAGTGCCAGCTACAACTTCAATCAAATACACCAGATCTCAAAGCTTGAGCTTCCATGAGGCAAGACAGGCCCCATGGGTTGGGCTGTCTGTTTGGTTTAATGCTGTCCTCTCTCAGTCTTTACATTTTACTAGCTTTTGAGTAATGGATACATTTTTATTTTATACTTGATCCCATAATGTCACTGCCTTTGTCACAAGATAGAAGGGCTTCTCATTTAGACTACTGCCACCAGTGTCATTTTTTAAACACCGACATGATTTACCTATTCAGAAGCGTGGGAATCTATTAAGCACTTCAGAAACATAGCTAGTATTAATCAACTCTTCTGTATCCCACTTCAAAAGACTGAGGGTTCAACTCTCTGCTATTTCTTCTTTTTCAATTCCCTTTGAAAGCTCTTTTGAGTTTACACTGAGTAAGTAATAAAATTCAATATGATTAGATTCCATTAATATCTGAATTTTATTGAAAATTAAAACAGATTCTGTCTTAGCTTAATTTTATTCCACGGAACAGCAAAATTTTGTCATTAATAATCTTTAGTTTTTATGCATTTATGAATTTTTAAATAATATATTAGATCTGAATTTAGCAAGACAGGAGAGTTGACTTTTCTGCTTTAAGAAAACCCATTGTCCAGCAGCCAGTGACTCAAGTGCTGATGGTTTTAAAGAGTACTCAAAGTTTACTGCACTTCCTTAACTGGGGGCTTTGTCTCCTTTCTTTCTATTTCCTGCAGCCAAGTCATTGTTGGATACGGGACATGGTATTACAGTTGTCAGTCAGCTTGACCAATCTTCTGGATAAGTTTTCAAATATTTCTGAAGGCTTGAGTAATTATTCCATCATAGACAAACTTGGGAAAATAGTGGATGACCTTGTGGAATGTGTGGAAGAAAACTCACCCAAGGTAATTTGTGGTTCATTGCGACTGGATATTATTGTCGGCGTCGTTGTTGTTGTTATTATTAATCTTCTGTAAAACTTACACTAATTAGTAGTTTGGAATTGAGGGGATGGGACATGAGACTGTTTATGTTGTTTAGGAGTCATGAACTTTGAATTTAAAACTGTGTTTAAAAAGTTTGCCCTTTTTTATTTGAAAGGCCAAGAGATGGGAGGTATGGGAGAGATATCTATTTGATGGCTCCTTCCCCAAAATGCCTACAATAGGTGAGCCAGGCTGAAGCCATGGGCCAGAAACTTCACCAGAGTGTGCCACATCAGCGGGGCGGTAGGGAGTCAAGCGCTGGACCCATCACCTGCTGCCTCTGATAGCGCACACACGCAGGAAGTTGGATCTGAATCAGAGACAGCTGAGCCAGCTACTCCAACAGGGTGATGTAGGCCTCTGATAAGAATGTTAATACGATGATCAGAAAGATAGATGTTAACCAATCTTGACATTATTATATAGCTCAGTGTGTATGTTATGATAAGGGCTTGGGAGACCTGCTTTGGTATAGAGCTCAAATGGACAAAGATTAGCCTCTTGGGCTTGTAGGAATTTAGACATAATATTTGTGATGCTTTGGGCTGGAACCTAAGAGATTGCAAATGATATTTCTCATTTTGGGGAATGAGTTAATGTATATAAAACACTTAGAATAACACAGTCTAGCAATTGATAGATTTTTAAAATCACCCATTTATGGAACCCTAAGATGCATTTGCTTTGATTTTTATGTAAATTAATTGTACCATTTCATTCTTTTGTGACTGCTTCTTTCTCCCAGCAATATGTAACATGTATCCAGTTTGCTGCATGCACCTGTGGTTAATTTGTTAATTGTGTTCCATTGATTCAACACACTACTACTTCCTAAATTACTATTCCGTTGATTGGCATAAATGTTATAAACACTGAGAAATGTCTCACATGCTTTATGGCACATAGGTGCAAGAGTTTCACTAGGCTATTTACTCCCCTAAGAGTAGATATACTGGATCACTGGATGGGTATAGCCAACATTACTAGATAACATCCAATTTATCAATCTATATTATATCCACAAGGTACAAGAATTCTTCATCCTATGTCCTTGCCAATATTCTATTCAGGCACACTTTTACAATTTTTAGATATTGGAGTATTTATTTCAGACAAGTCTCTTTAATGTCAACATTTTTATCTATTGTTTATTTATTTGCTTGAAAGAAACAGAGAAGGAGCTAGCTCCGCTGTGCTGGCTCACTTCCCAAATGTCTGTAATATCTAGGGCTACTCCAGAGTCAGAAGTCCAGAACTCATTGGATCTCCTACAGGAGAGGCAGAGACTCAAGTACCTGAGCCAGCACCTGCTGATGACATATGAACAGGATCAGAAATCAAGTGTGTAGCCAGGAGTGGAATCTTGACATTCTAATATGAGATGCTGGCATCCCAAACACTGAACTGCCACGCCTTTACACTTAGGCTTGCCTCTACACTCAAGCAACAAATGCTTACCCCTAAACTCATGTTCTTAATGAGCATCTCTAAAGAAAAATTATCCTCTCTCAATTTTTGTTTATTTTTATTCAAGAGCTAGAGAGAAACACACAGACAGCTAGAATTACTACTCATCCTCAGCTAAAGGAACCAGCAACTCAACCCAGGGCTCCCACATGGGTGGCTGTGACCTAACTACTTGAGCCCTACCAGCTACCTTCCGGGTAAGCCTTTTCTGGAATGTGGAATCAGGAGCCACAGCTGGGCATGAAACCCAGCGACTTGCGTACAGGAAGGTCATCATAATTGGCCCTGTAATTGCTGGGTCCACACCTACTCTGCACTGCAGTTTTTGAAAGGATCATTTGATTGTTATGACATTGTGTTCACTGCACCCTCCTTTCCCATAGCAACTTGGATCATGAGTTGAGTCCCATGTTGAGCTGGTGGGTCACTGTCCTTCTCTACCACAATGAACTGAGCATATCAAACCACAGTCCAGGAGTGTTCATTTTAAGAGTTCAAGTACTTGCATCACTAAAAGACAATTATCTTCTATTACTTTGGCAACCATGAAGTCTATAGACTATTTCAAAAGTAAAATCCCGCTTTTTTTTCCCCTTCTAGAATGTAAAAATATCATCCAAGAGGCCAGAACCCAGGCCCTTTACTCCTGAACAATTCTTTAGAATTTTTAATAGATCCATTGATGCCTTCAAGGACTTTATTGTGGTATCAGAAACTAGTGATTGTGTGCTTTCTTCAACACTAAGTCCTGAGAAAGGTAAGACATATACGCATCTCCAACTTAATTGCAAATATCAGTCTTGAATCTTAAATGTGTACTTAAGAATTCACCTTTGAGTCAAATACATGTGAGCCATAAAAAGATGCATGTGTGTTTGCCTAATAAAAAGCAAATATCAGTATCATTGGCACAAAACAAACTGAGTGTACATTTGTTGGTGTCTAAACCAAAACAATGCTCATTGTTTTCAAATTAAAGAAGTATGTGTGAATAAACAACATATGATAGGCATTAATATTTTTTGATATTTGCTGGTAATATACAATTACATGATTGTTTATCTTCAGTCTTATTGTTCATTTCTGAGACATTTTTCTTAAGGCTTTAATGGAATCATGGCCTCTGATCTTCATCAGTTAACTCCACATTGAAAGACAGCCCCTGGCCCGCCACGGGGCCATGGTAACACAAACCTGAATTTTACTGCTTTTTCTTTTTTAAATGAAAAATGACTGACCACTGGTCATTATTCATATTCATTAGCACAAGTAGGCGTAAACATCTGCTCTATTGGGTGAGTGTGGCCAATTTCTTCATGAATAGAGCACCAGGACTCAGTGTGGAATAAATAGGATCTGCTATTCTAGATTGGGGAAGTGGACCTGGCCTGTACTCGTGGGTTGTACTTTACCTTTTGGGGACACTGTAATTCATATAAAACCATATAACACTGACACATTATTGCTTTCTATTTAGATTCCAGAGTCAGTGTCACAAAACCATTTATGTTACCCCCTGTTGCAGCCAGCTCCCTTAGGAATGACAGCAGTAGCAGTAATAGTAAGTACTCCTATCTGATTTAATGCATGCATGGCTCCAGTTAGCACTATAGGAGTATTGCATGTGCTTTGAAGGAAGTTTCTACAGCTACTACTATTCATACTGTTCTGTTACTGTTATTCCTCTTACGATCTTCCTGAGAACTAAATATTAGTTTTATCCAACTGGGCTTCCCTAGAGTTTGAGAATTGCTTGGGAGATTTGGGCCAATCACTTTTTTGCTAAGATTATTCCAATAAGGCATGAAATTAATTTTGGAAATGTGTTTCAGGTTTTGTCTTTGTAGACTACAATTAGATTTCGTGTTAAATTAAATTTTGTAAAATATACTTGACTATAATGGAATTCCTAAATGGAAGATAAAAATGCTACTTGTGTATAATCCCAAGGGTCATTTGGGTTTTATATATTCATGTATCAGTACTCACTGTTGCGCACTTGAAATTTATGCCTGTTATTTTCTATAAAAGGATATGTTGGGAAAAGAATATTCTTCTCTGAAATTGCTGTCCTCCTTGGCCAAGAACATGGTTGCTGGAAGATTGTGTCCTCTTTTCAAATCCAGGCAGAGGTCACTGCAAAGGTTACTGGATTTATTACATGCTCTCAAGCCCCCATGGAATTTGGAGGAGGAATAAGAATCATCCAGAGAGCTTAGCTAAAAAAGTCTTCCTTTAAGTGGGGCATTGTCATTGGTGCAAGGACACGGAAGACATACATGCAAAGTGGAATGAGCCATTTATTACAAACCCACATTTACCTACTTGTCTATACTTCAGAAATTTAGAAAAATATACAACTGACAGTTTTCCCTACCAAAAGCTGACCTAACCTGAGGTTATTTACAGTTTTAGTTGTTTAAAAAGTGAAGACTAGTTCAAAAGTAAAATATTCGTGTTGGATGGCAAGTGAAACCCAGAATTCACTTTGCATAAATATACAATATTTGAAGGACAGAATCTTCTAAAAATCTATAATCCTGAGTTACATTCCGAATCAGATCTGAGGCTTGAAAAAAGGATTGTGTCTCATTTGAGTCTTAGTCAATTAAAGTGTTTCTTACTATGAATTTTCTCTCCAAAGTGGCAATTTTGACTTCTTAAATTCTTTTTCCTTCTATTTACGTTGTGTCTAATTTAGTCAACTTGTTGTACTTTCTTACGGTGGATAAACTACTCATTGATTTTAAGTGATTCTTCCATACCTATATGCTCTTCAAGTAATAGGTGTCCTCGTAGACGCTGTTTCATTTTTTTTTTTTTTCCTTTTTAATTCAAGCGGCAAATCTCGTTCTCACCTATAGGTTCACTCTCCAAAGGCCTGTGATGGCCAAGATGAGGCCTGGTCGAGGACGGAAGCTGGGCACTCATGGCAGCTTTCCTACCTCGGTGGCACCTGCACCATCACCTTCTGCTTCCTAGGGGCTGGTTGGCCCCACGGTGGAATCAGTCCCCAGAACCAGGAATCCAGAGCAGGCACTCCAAAATAGAATGCAGATGTTTTCATCATCAGGCCAAATGCCGGCTGAGATCCCAGATATTTTTCTATGTTGTATTTTCATTGTAATTTCTAAAAATATTTTAAAATTCTCTTTGTGTTTTTTTCTGATTCAAGGGCAGTATAGAAATGGTTTTGTTGGGTTTTTTTTAAAGCTTTTATAAGTTTTCCTAAATGTAAAATTTGGATTTCCCTAGATGTCTTGTTGCATTTAGTTTCTAAATTAACTCAGTTAGTTACTGTCAAAGAACATACTTTGTAATCTTCCAAAGTTTATGGAGACTTTTTATGAGTATTTCTCAAGTTAGCTTATAATGTGTTTATATTTTTTTTATCACTTACTTATTGAGAAAGGGGAATTTAAAATGTTTCCTTTTGTGGCCAGTCTGGTGGCATCATAGACTAATGATCTCCTGCCAGTGCTGGCATCCCACATGCTGTTCCACTTCCTGATCCATCTCTCTGCCTGTGGCCTGGGAAAGCAGTGCAGGATGGCTCAAGGCCTTGGGACCTGCACCTACAGGGAGACCTGGAAGAAGCTCCTGGCTCCCAGCTTTGAACCACCCAGCTCTGGATATTGTGGCCATTTGGTGGGTGAAACTGTGGGTGGAAGATCTCTTTCTCTTCCTCTCTGTCTACCTCTCCCTCTGTAACTGACTTCCCTCCCTCCCCAAATAAATAATACATCTTAAAAAAGAAGAAGTGCTTAAAAAAAAAAAAACACTTTCTTTCCTATTGCCTGACTTTCGATTGTTTATTTGGAAGGCAGAGCAATAAAAAATATACCTATCATCTTTTATATTTACTGACATATTTTTTATTTCCTGTTCCTGTCATTCCACTTTAAAATCCAAGTTTCCATCTGCTGTTAATTACTTTCAGGCTGAAAAAAACTTCCTTTTGGATTTCTTGTTGTGCAGATCTACTAGGAAAAAAAAATTATTTTTTTCTTTTAATTAGAAATGTATTTGTCTAGCTACTTTTTTTTCCAAAAAGATTTGCTTATTTATTATAATTACTTCATTGAAAGGCAAGGCAGCAGAAAGAGATCTTCCATCTGCTGATTCATTCCCCAAATGGCTGCAACAGCCAGGATCAAAGTTACAATCCATTACATCTTCCATGTCTGCCACGTAGGTGGCATGAATCCAAGTACTTGGGTCATCATCTCCTCTTCCCGGGGACCATTACTGGGAAGCGGGATTAGATGCGGAATAGCCAGGACTCCAACTGGCACTCCTGTGAGTGCTCACAAGTCATGATTCATCTTGTACACCATGATGCTGGCCCCATCACTACTGCTTACCACTAGATATTTGGTTTCAGTAGACTTTTTTTTCTCCCTATTATGTGTCTCATTTCCCTTCCAATGGTTTTTACTTTATTTCATGTAGACTGGCTGTAGACACCATGTCATTGAGTGGCTTCCAGATATTATAGCATTTCTTTAGCGGCTATTTTGTTTTGTTGCAGGTTTAATTACTGGTAGACGTTTTAGCTTCTTTCTCAGGCCTGTTTTTAAACTTTCCTCAGGATAGGGGAGCCAGTAGTGTTACTCCAAAGGCATGGAATCCCCGAGATATCCCTAGGGAACTTAGAAAGGCTTGCTTTGTCCAAATTCACTTGTTCTCTGTTGTTGTGTGGCTGCAGGGGTCTTTGTCAAGGTTGTAGCTTCTCAAGAGTGCCTTTCTGGCCTGGTTTTGTGACACATCTCGCCGTGCGTGTGCAGTTTGTTCCAACAATAGCTTAAGGAGACATGACTGATTACTGATGCTCTTCTCTGAACAGCTCCCTTCTTGCAAATACTTCTGTTCTACCATCCCACTCAAGTCAACAACCTCAAGTTTCAGTATCTTGCTCAATCAACTCAGTGAGAACCTCGAGCTTTGCCGGAACTCTTTCACCACCCAGTTTGAAGGTGCCTCTCAGGCAGCAGATCCAAAGTCAGGAAGCATGAGCAGTCGTCGGCCTCAGATCTCATGTCTTCTCTCAGGAATTACACTTCGTGCTGGTTGTTGACTAATTTCTGAAAGTAGTTGCCTCACATCATTCTCCAGGATTGTAATTATGAAGGTTGAGAAGAGCTGTCTGCTGCAACTATGTGGTTGGAAGCAAAAGGTTTTTCCTGCTGAGTTTGAAAGAAAAATGTGAAAATCCTTTTCATTCCTGTGCCTCTGTGGGGGTACCATTTTTTAATTCATTTTTTATTTATGTAAGCTGCATATGTTTCATATATACAGATTTAAGATTTACTTCCCACCCTACATTTTTAATAGCAGGATGAGGCAGCAGTCTTCTTCATTTTTTTATAGTTTATTGTGCTTTTATTTTCTTTTCAAAAAATGTAGGTCTTTTATTAACAGTTTTTGTCCAGGTGATATACTCTTGAATATGTTACTTAGATACCTATGTTTTTAAAAGGAAAGCTAGGAAATATGTGATATCTGTTCTCTTTATATCAATTTAAAATGTTAGTGAATTAACTGGTAAAAATAACAAATTTTCATGGTATTCATATTCTAAGAGAAATGGATGTGAATAAAATGTTCATAGTACAGTATATAATATGAATAACAACAGAATTATATAAATGTATTAGGCTGTAGAATAAAGGAGATGAGGATTTTCTCCTGTTTTTTGGAGAAGGGTCAGGACATCTTCAGAAGGAATGCTAGCTGTCAAGAATAAGACTCAAAAGCTTGCCATGCCAGAGGAGCAGGGTTTATAAGGTCTATTCCAGAGACGTGAGAATATAAAGAAGAGTCATGGGATAATGTACAAGCCTACTATTTATTCAGAGGGACTTATGTTAACAATCGCAATGTCCTCGATGCCAAGTTAAAGAGATGTTTAATTTGGAGATACTTGCAGACCGTGTTTAAAAATGCAGAAGGAGATCCTTCGTTTGGCATTATCATATACATCTTCAGACGTACAGACTTGAATCAGATTGTCTGGACCCACATCCCAACTCTAGCCCCTGGCTATGCAACTTTGGACAAGTTACTTAAACTCTCTTGATAAATCCATCCAGCAGAGACTGATAATAGTCCTTCACAGGGATTCTGTAAGTTTTAATGATTAGCACATACATGCAAGGTGCCATGACTGGTTCTTAGTAAGAACTCACCATTACAAGATTATAAGAACAATTAGATCCAATGAAACGGTGCTGCCATATTTCTGGTGTTCCTGTAGTGAGCTGTGAGTCTATTTCTTAAGTGCCCAGAGATCCACATCACAGGCATATTCATAGGATTACTTCTTAAGTTAAGCAAAGTTGCAGCACAATATTTCATGTTATTTTTAGGTGCTAGTCATTTTTAGTCACATTAAATAACCCAGTTCTCAAGAATTTTGGACAGTAGACAGTTTTGATGATGAAATTCAATTAGTGTGGTTAACCTTGGAATTTGGGGTTATTTCAATTCTTTCCAGATGTGTTCCCCCTCTGTTCAAGATCTCTGCAATCTTGAATAAAAGCAAACCTTTGCTATCAGCTAGGGTTTGGGCCTCAAATAACCTTCCTAAACATCATTGGTTCCTAGCAGATAACTGGAGTAGCAAGTGCTGAGGAGCCACCTCTGCAGGTGAAAGCAGTGGTATTTCTAGAGAATCCAAGTTCTGGTCTTTAAGCTCTATGCAGAATAGATGCAATAAAAAGAAGGCAGTGAGGTTCACTCATCTGAATCTTTCCCTTAGCTCTCTTCACTCTGCCTCTCCCGCTGTTTCTCCAGCAGGAGGATTGCTGCTGTGTCATCATCAGATGCCAGGTCTTGTATTGACCGATAGTCCTAGAGTGGAACTGTGAAAGCGGTTAGGAAATCACAGCCCTCTCAGAGAGGGGACAGAAGCTTTCCAGTGCCAGCTCTCCACGGGTTTGTTTGAGACTCCTTCCTTCGGCAGCTTCCCCTTCCTTCACAATGGTTTTGGGTGGCCAATTCTAAAATACAATCACTACCTCGTTAGCATCTTCTGGGCTTTTTTTTTTTGTCACTCCCTTTCTGTGATCTGAGTGGTGAAATCCAAACTTGCATTTGGCTTTTGGGTAGAAGAGTAAAAAACAAGGCTCTCAGCTATGAAAAAGAATGCAACACAGTTGTTTGCAGCCAAATGGGCCAAATTGGACACCATTATGCTAAGGAAAACGAGCCAATCCCAAAAGGTCAGATACCACATATTTGCTCTACTATAACTTCCATCAGGAAGGGAGATGGCTGTTGGATTCCAGTGCATGTGGCTGACCAATCATAGGACATAAGAGTTCTCCACAGAATCATCTTTTCTTTCTTTCTTTCTTTCTTTTTTTTTTTTTTGTTTATTTTTATTGGGAAGGCAGATTTACAGAGAGAAGGAGAGACAGAGAGAAAAATCTTTTGTCCACTGGTTCCCTCCCCAAGTGGCCACAATGGCTGAAGCTGAGCCAATCGGAAGCTAGAGCCAGGAGCTTCCTCTGGGTCTCCATATGGGTATAGCACCATCTTAACTTATTACTTTTGCATTATGGTTTGGTAACAAAATACCAATGGCACCCTTTGTGCTCCATGTACATTGGTTAGGGCCTCACCAGAAAGTCATATAGTCAAATCTTTCACAATTACATATCAGCAATTCCAGTGGACATAGGCAGCAGTAACAAATGGGAGATCAAGAATTCAAACACACATCACCAAAATGTTTTCATAAATGACAGTAGAATTCCTAAAATAGTAACAATAACATTATTCCTGCTGTACCAAATCCTATTGTATAATTCAGGCTCTTTTTTTTTTTCTTTTGTATAAACTCAAGTTTGAGATCCTGAAGCTGCCAGGAGGCTGTAATTTCTGGGTGGGTCAGAAGATCTCTTCCTCAGGAGGTAGTTTGGAGTTATATAAATTGATAACTCCGTTTGTTAAAAATCACTGCCAAACCCTTTGTAGCTTACACTGGATTCCCATTGCTCATTTTTTTCTCTTCCCAACTTATACACATGCATTGGACAAACATGCAAACATCTTATCAGTAGAGTCTCTGGAAACATAGGAATCATTTCACTAGGCAATTTCCTGTTCCCAGTTCAGAAATGGTGAAAAAAATGGACAATTCCTCTTGTCAGTACAGTAGATGCATTTCTTATCTCAGGCTAATTCTCTTGAGTTATTTTTCTCTTATAAATGATGGTATACATTTGTGGATAGCTTCTTTTATATGATATGCTTGAGGTACTTGATGTAATACCTAAGTAATTGTAGGCTGATCCTGTAACCCAAATACTGTCGCAGAATTAACCAAGAGCTGTCCACTTTACCTGGACTTAGTTTACATTCTTATCATGTAATTGTTTGAAATTTATAAATTCTCAATTTTATTATAGCTCCAAACAAACCTTTCAAACTTAACTGGCAAGCTATCATGTCTGTGTCAACATTTCTGAGAGCCACCTTTGTAAAAAGACAGGTGGAAAAATCTGTCAGAGAAAGCTTTGTATTGCAATACAAAGACCTTGGGAGAGAGGTGTTCTATTTAATTCAAAACAATTCTGCTTCTTGTGGAAGAGTAGGCCAGACTGAGAAAGACCCACCCCCCCCCATCCTATTTGTCTTCTCTGTCACTAAGTTCTCATGCAGAGTTAGTGAGTATGGGATGGCACAGGTGCTTTCAAGCAATTTTAGACTTAGTTTCAAATTCTCCAACATAAAAAGCCTGAAAAATCAAGTGTTTTGTGCATGGTACAGTGCCTGTCCCTACCAAATACCCCACAAATGTGTATGGGAAATGTAAATTAAGCTGAAGTAACCCAAAATACTAGAACCACAGAGCACATTTAATGCCAATATTTGCTACAGGTCAGAGATAGGGAAGGAATGCAGATTTGGATCCAGACTGTAAAAATCTCATCTTTAAAATTGTGGGCCAGATACCAAGAGTGAAGAAGTGAAAGGACACTTGAAGAAAAAGGTATAGGAAACAGATTTGCTTAAGAGTATGCCCTTCCCTCCAGGACTATGCCAAGTTTGTCATCCTGATAACTTCCACTTTAATGAAGTCAAATTTCTACCTGTCTGTGAAATGTCTTTCCTTTTTAAATGTAGTCATCTTTTGGAGACTGTATGAACTTACATTGCTTTGCAACAACAGTCCTCAGCAGAAATAAGCCTTTTCAATACTTTAAGCAGATGTAGGTCAAGAATGCATTGTGGAAACAGTTGGGATCAAGCACAGTACAACAGGAAAACCTCCAGGACCTATCTGCTATATTCACCACTGTGCTCTTTACATTCATTACAGGCAGGGCCGCCAGTTCCATTGGAGACTCGAGCCTACAATGGGCAGCCATGGCATTGCCAGCATTCTTTTCTCTTGTGATCGGCTTTGCTTTTGGAGCTTTATACTGGAAGGTAAGTGTTGCTATTCTTTTATTTTTCCTCATATTCAACCTTCTAACCTTATTTGTTCAAACAGATTTCCCTTTTCCAAGAAGAGAGCCTACCAAGGGAACAGTGAGTTCTGCCTTAATGATTTCACTAGAATTTAGAAGGGTTCCTACCATTCTTCATTATACTTTCGGGAAACTTAAAGAAGAGGAAAACATACTGAAAATCATCTGATTGCAGCAGAGATAGAAATGCCTTTTATATAAGTGCTATTTTGAATTTCTGCTCCTTGTTCTTTTATTTTTCTGGAAGCCTCTCTAAAATTTTAAACTGTGCTAAATCATCATGAGTCAAGTTTTGGGAAATGTCTTTTGAGTTTGATTACTATTCAGATCTGTCAGTCTCTTTATGACTCTTCCATCCCCAACATCCTAAAAATGTTGTGTGGATAACACTGCATTTTTCATGATTTTTTTTATTGTGAAATATTTTGCATGCTATATGCAGAAAAAGATAGTTATTTATGGTTCGGGCATGAAATGTAAAAGAGAAGGATCACTTACTTCTTAAGAGTTCTATCATTCCGTCATGTTTTTACAATTTTTGTCGTTATTCTCTTCCCAGAAGAAACAACCAAATCTTACAAGGGCAGTTGAAAATATACAGATTAATGAAGAGGATAATGAGATAAGGTATTTGGTTTTGCTCATATCTGCATAAGGAGACTTGGCACTGCCATTTCAGGAATTGTACATGCACATCCTCATTGTTCACTAGCATGAAGTATATCCCAACTCTTCATCCATATTCCTGACCTCCCACTGCTTCCTTCTTGCATCTCCGCTTACCTATAAAATGCTTTTACGTAACTACCTCTGGGTCACATTCTGCTTTTGTTATTTTCCACATTGTTACCGTCCTAGACACACTGATTCATCAAGTCCCTGCTTGGCAGTGAACATCCTCACTGGTTTATTTAATATATGCTGTGCAAGCTGATACTTCAGAGTCCTGGCCCTTCTTAAATGCACACATTGTTACATTTTCTCTTTTTTTAATCTTTACATTCGGGACACAAGTGATGACTTTTTCTTACACACTTAACATATCACCTGCTTAAGTATGATTTTCCAAGCCCTTAACTTTGGTGGTACTTAGTATTTTCACAAAAGCAAATTAAATAGTTGTTTAGGATGCCTTTTCCAATGACCCTTACTCTGTCTTGCCCCATCATTCGTCTTCCATTTACCTTCATTTTTATTTGGTCGTGATACTTTCTCTCGCATCACACTGTGTGTATACACACACATTAAGTGCATATAAGCATTTCATTATGTATGAATATGTCCATATAGGTGTAAATGATATATACATATACATACATATATAGAGATTGATTTTTAAAACTACTCAAAAAGACCATTAGTAAATGAATAAGTCTGTCTCCTCCATGGGAATACTTACTTTGGTGTGTAAGTTGCTCACCCAGTGTTGCTAACTTCTGCTTTGTTTACAGAACAGTTGCCCTTTACAATGCCCAGGTTTTGGTGTACTTCAGGATCTCCACAGAGATTCTTTAGGACACTAAAGCAAGTAAACATGTTTCTTATTTTTCAGTATGTTGCAAGAAAAAGAGAGAGAGTTTCAAGAAGTGTAATTGTGGCTTGTATCAACACTGTTACTTTTGGACATTGGTAAGTTTTTAGAATTCAAGCTGAAATAAGGTAGCAGGAACTATATAATATCGTGGATACCAATATTCAGAAAGAAATTTTATCATTACATCTTCCGTCAAGTAGATATTGATATGTTAAGTGAATTTGTTACATATTTGAATTGCAAATATTTAATTCATTGTGCATTCTCACATTTTTAAGAACAAACAGTGTTAGTCCTTGTTTGCATGTTTCATGAGAAATAAACAAAAATTAAGTTGTTTTTAAGCTAGAAAACTAAACAAAGGTCATGAGACAAGTTAGCACTACCATGCAGTATTATTATTGGGGAGGGATAAGCAGATTTTATTTAGAATTGCTTATGACAATGTCCCATTTGTTAGATATTGAAACAAGAGAAGAATCCAAATGGTCCCCTGCCCTCCCTCCACGGCGCCAGTGGATCATGGAGAAGGCGGTCAGGGAGAGGGGCTGCCATGAGCCTTTTCAGTGAACAATCCACTGGCATCGTGGAGGGAGGGCAGGGGGCAACAAGGATACAGGAACGGGAGAAAGCAGTCAGATGCCACCTTTTCAAATGCACTCGGCAGTGTCAGCAAGGGTAACAGCACTGCAGGTCACTCTCCCTTCTCCTAGACGGAGAGCTTTATCCCCGGATGGAATATTCCTCGGGGAAGCAGGCCATAGACTCTTTCCTCTCCTAGAAATTCACTTTTCTAGTTGCAAAAGATATTTTTCAATCAACCCAACAAAAAGCAGACATAAGGATAACAAAGCATATTGCCATGAAATTGGAGTCCTATTATTCCATAAACTTCTTTATTCCAATACTCAGAACCTTGATCACTGTGTCCCAAACATGTTCATCATCTTCCCTTTTTCCTTCTCAAAATCCCAAGCTTCTCTCTAGGCTCTGCTAAATAATGAAAACGACAGAGCCTTCACAGACTCTGTATAAATTTTAAATACAGTAATCATTTGATTCCATTTGCCACAAACTTTAAAAATACTTAGTAGAGAGGAAGAAAAATAAAAGAGGGTTCTATTCTGCTGGTTGACTCCCCAGGTACCTTCTACAGTCAGGACATGGCTTCTATCTGGGATATGGAAATTCAGTCCAGGTCTGTTAGCTGGGCAGCATGTAATCAACTGCTTGGGCCATCACACTACAGCCCGGGGTGCGCATTAGCAGGAAGCTGGCCGTGGCAGAGCCAGGACTGGAACCAAGCACTTGAATATACAAGTATGCGTCATCTCAACCAGCCAGGCCAAACACCTGGCCCTGCCTGATACTTTTTATTTTCCAGGGTAATATTCCCAAAGCTGAGATCACTGTTTGCCCGTGAAATTCACTTCTCTGCTCTTTGACTTCAATACAAGATTTACTGTTTCCCAACTGCCACTTCAGTTCTTTAAAGCCAGATATCCAGAAACCACACATTCAATGATTGAGTCTTAACAGCTCAATTAATGTCTTTTGTTGCTTGGTATTGTATTGCTTTTCTGGGATCTCTTTTGGCAACCACCATTAATTATGTGGTTTTCATTGTGGCATTTTTCCTGGGATAACAGGGGAGTGCGTTTATGATGAGGAAAGCAGGCCATTTATTTGGGAGAGGAAAAGATGGCATTTGGAATGTGACCATAGTGCAACAACTTGGGCTTACTTCTGTGGATAACAACGAAGGATTGGAACTGGTCTCTGGTTCTTGTTATATTCCCAGAAGCTAACTTGTTGCCTTTGCCATGTAGGCTCCTGATAAGTGCTAAATGACAGAATGAAGGAATGGATGAGCTTTTGGCTCCTGGGTTCAGATTGGCCCAGCTCTGGTTCTTATACCCATTTGGGGAGTCAATCAGCAGTTGGCAGTTTTCTCTCTCTTTCTTTCTCTCTATCACTCTCTCTCTCTCTCTCCCTTTCCTTCTAACTCTGCCATTCAAATAAATCTTAAAAACTAAAAAGCCAGCAGTTGGGAAATCAGTTGGATCTCCCACATAGGTGAAAGGGACCAAGTACTTGAGCCATCTGTACTGTTAACTTTTGCTACGAATCTTATCTTCACAAGCTAGTAAGTACATAGGTGGATGCAAAGTTTAATTAGCCTAATTGCCTCTTCAAATTAAGAGCCTACAAAAGCAAATAAGGCATAAATGTTATAATCATTTTTTAAAAATATTAACTTTAGGGCCTGGTGCAGTAGCCTAGAGGCTCAAGTCCTCACCTTGCACATGCCATGATCTCATATGGGTATCGGTTCTAATCCCAGTGACCCTGTTTCCCATCCAGCTCCCTGCCTGTGGCCTGAGAAAGCAGTGTAGGATGACCCAAAGCCTTGGGACCCTGCACCTGCATGGTAGACCAAGAAGCTCCAGGTTCCTGCTTCAGCTATGTGTAACTGTAGCCATTGCAGAGTCATTTGGGGAATAAATCAATGGACAGAAAATCTTCCTCCTTGTTTCTGAAATCTTTTTAAATCTTCTGAAATCTTTTTAAAAATATTAAGTTTACAAAGCTTTTTTAAGCAACAAAAGCAGCTCACAAAGAACATGCCCTAAGATTCAGATGGGGCCATTTGTGGTGGCTAGTGGCATCTGTATATTGAGATAGATCTTGACTGATTTGTCTAATTTTATTAGCAGTAAGGAAGACTCCATTCAAATACTACCAATGTCCTATACCCAAGAAGACCCAAAAGCACAAACTGTGTCCCTTGAACAGTCTGTACAGTTGAACTCCAATGAAAATCATACATACAGAGTTAAAAGTACTGAGAAGAAAATGAATTTGAATAATAGGCACATGGCTTACATTTCATAGGATAATATAAAGAGCTATTTGGGGTCATTTAGAAAAAATGAGTGGTGCAATTAAAGCTGAGGTTTAGGAAAACAAATCTGTGTTGGTGTTTATAGATGGAGGGGAATGAAGAATTTGAGGAAGGGAGTCCACCCAGGAGGTGCATCTTTACAGATGTGTGGCAGTGAGGACCTGGATAGGAAACAGAAGGCATAGACTACGGTGGGACACTGCAGTGAAAGAAATAATAAATCCTAGGTACTGATAAGATGTAAGACTTGATGGTATGCCACGATGATTTGAAATTTCATGGAACTTTCCAGGTATCAGTGCTACTCAAATGAAATGGAAGATCAGGCATTTGGCATAGCTAATAATAAGAAGCCATTTGGGATCCTCCCATCTCATATCGGAGTACCTGGGTTTGAGTTCCTGCTCTACATCCAATTCCAGCTACCTCCTAAAATTCACAGTGGGAGGCAGCAGGTGATGAGTCAAATACTCGTGTGCCTGCCATCCATGTAGGAGACAGCTGGAGTTCCTGGCTCCCAACTTAACCTGGCTCAGTCCTGGCTGTTAAGGCCATTTAGGGAGTAAACCAGTAGATCGAACACAACCACTTTCCCCTCTCCTCTACCCTTTTCCCCACTCCCTCACTCTGCCTTTCCCTTTCCCTCTCTTAAACCAATAAGTTACTTGCAAAGAAAAAGAAAATGGAAAGCCAAGAGAAGCTGCTGGTAAACAGTGGTGGTACTGACCAGTGGCCAAACATGCTTGACTGCGCTTCGGGGAGTTACATAGGGCTGGACACAAAAGGCCTGGGATTTGACAGTCATCTACAGAGAATCTTAATTGAGACTTTGGGAGAAGGAATGCTTATTCACAGAGAAGACCTGGCCTGGTGGAGAGTAAATAGCATGGGTTTATAAACACTACACAGGTTACAGATAAATATAGAAAGTAATTGTGACTTTAGTTAGAAACTGCAAGTGTCCTGTAGATCTGAGCAACATACAAGCTTAAGTCAAGTTGTGAGATTTAAGGCACAGCCCTTGGGGATGCTGGTTACCAAATGACAAGGTTTGGTGACTGCCTGATATCACCCGGCATTTTTTGAGTTTTGAAGGCCTTGTTTCTGAGTTCCCTTCTGAAGAAACAATGTGAAGCCGAAGAGAGGAGAAGATTAGCGTGGGTTCAAGTCATGGCTCTAGGACTTTAGCTATAGGCTGATTCAGCTAATGTCTTTTTAACCCCTAGTTTTCATATATAATGAGACAATAATAAAACTAACCCTGGTCTCTTCATGAAGTGACTGTAAAACTCAGGGTTATCATCATAAAAATTGTAGTTTTGTTCTAGTGGAAAACAGTCATCAAACTATTCATTTATTTTCTTTGCTAAGTGACCCAAGGGCAAAATCAAAACTAGATTTCTAATCTTACTTTTTCCGCATTTAATAAGATTTAAAATTTCAAATTATTCATGGTTGTTTAAAAAAATATTTTTTCTTTATTTGGTTCCCTTTTCTTTCCTAAACAAGTTTCTCTTCTAAAAACAATTTTATGTTTGGATTTCTGAAGTCTCCCCCTTAATGTCTCTTAATTTTTCTTTCTGAATTTAATTCCCATTTCCTAACTATAGATTCCCTAGTTTCTGAAATTTTCTTGTAATACAGCTTTTAATATTACAAGTAGAGAGATTGGAGGAAATAAAATTTACTATTCATATTCTTGAAATGTATGTATATCCTGTTTAATGATCACCACATTTTAAAATAAGGATTCTATGATATAGTAATTGAAAAACACAGAAGAAAATAAGGAAAAATGTTTAGGGAAGATGAGAAATAAAATACAGTGATTATAAGCTATGATTTTTTTAAAGGTATATTTGTTTGAAAGGTAGCATGAAAGAGAACACACAAGAGAATAATCTTCCATTTGCATTGTTTACTCCCCAAATACTGTAACACCCAGAAATGGGCCAGGCTGAAGCCAGGAACCAGGAACTCCATCCCAGTCCCCCAAGTGCTTGGCCATCTTCTGCTGCCTCCAAGGTGCATTAACAGGAAGCTAGATCAGAAATGTATTGTAGGTGGGAGTTAAGTCAGGTGCTCTGATGTTGTATCTGCCCATCCCAATCTGTGACTTAACCTGCTGGGCAACAATGCTCACAGCAGGAACTGTAATTTTAGATAGAGTAAAATAAATAAATAAATATATATATATATATATATATATATATATAAATGTATCTGAATAAAGATAGATTGGAAACTGAAGTTTATTGGAGGTTGAAAAACCTGAAAGCTCACTGTTTTAACACCAACCCAGGAGAACTAAACCGTAAGTCTGGCTTTCATGGATAGTGAAGTCCAATCAGCTGTGCCAAGGACAAGCCAGTCTGCACAGAGGCGTGGTTAGGAGGTGCAGGACTTCAGCCTTTTTGTTTGTGAATGGAAGAGTTGACTGAGCTCTTGCTGCTGTTTCCTCACCTGGGAGAAATGAGTGCTAGGACCCACCTAGCCAGACAGAACGCAAGAGCCGCTCAGTGGACGTGAGGCTGCTCCTCAATGTGCCTCTGGGCAGCTTTCCCACCTTTTCCAGACAATCCTTTCATGCTATTCCATCCGTCTCCACCTCTGTGCCCTCCGCTGGCTGGGTTTTGTCTTGTGCCTCAACCCTACTCCCCTTTGCCATTCATCTACTATTTACCTTTTCAAACTAACTTCAAGTTCAAGGCTAGCTAGGTTGATAATCCTCTTAGTACAAACAGATAATTGGCAGGTTATGTGGGGGTATATGATCCTCTTATTACAAACTGAGATAATTAGTACTATGTATAATGCTATATAATCCTCTTATAAATTGAGATAACTAGTAGTATGTATGGGGGTATGAAAGTTGAAGCGTATCCATTTTTCCTTTCTGATGTTCAAAAATGTTTAAGGAGGATCTGTTATATGCCAGGAGCATACCAAATTTACAAATTGTAAGAGTTACGACAATGTTAGCACAGCAGTTAATAGACAAAAGTCCCGTCCTTATGAAAGTTACATTCTAATAGGAGAACAATAAACAATAAGTAGGATAATTTCAGATCATATTAAGTGTTACCACAGAGATTGTGTAAAGTGACTTACATTGTGACTAGGAAAAAATATGTATTTCTGGCTATGTATACATTGAAAGCCTATTACTCACTCTGGGGTCTTCTGTAAATTTAGTTACCAGGAGTGAAGAGAAGGCAGAACACAGACACACCATAATCTTTCCTTTTTTTTCCCCCTTCCTTTCTAGGCTGGTAACAGTTCATGTTTGCTTCATAAATGAAGCAGCTTTAAACAAATTCCTATTCTGTCTGAAGTGACAGACCTCGTCTTTATCTGTTCTTGCTACCCATGAGTTTATATGGATGATTCAGAAATTGGAACGGAATGTTTTACTGTGAAACTGGCACTGAATTAATCATCTACAAAGAAGACCTTGCATGGAACGGGACTCTATTTTAAGGACTGGGGGGTCTTGTGGTCTCCTTTGGAACTTGCTACTGGTGTTGGGAGAGAAGGCCTGAGTCCCTGGCTATGTGCACCATTTGCATGGCTCCAGAAATGTGGCTGAAAAGCCACAAAGCTTTAGTCTTCAGTGACACCATGAAGCCTGTAGTTAGCCTTGTCTCTGCAAATAGATTTCAGCCTGGATAGTGGGGATAATACATTTTTCTCAAAAGATTCTAGAAAAACTTAGGTGAAAACTCTAAAATGTCAGCCGCTGTACAGTGTAGACAGCAGTCAGAGTGAAGCAATGCGATAGGCAACACGTCCGTTTTGTAGTTTTTAATTAACTGTATGGGTCGAATCTTGATTTCTTCCCAGTATAAGCCAGGCTCTCCCATATCCCACTAGAAAAAAAAAGGATATGGTGGGCTGGTTCTGTCTGTGAAGGGGAGCCAGGACTGACTTAGAACGATGCCTGGGCAGAAGGGAAACCCATAGAGCGTCATCGCAGGAAGAACTGTGGGCACTGAAGAGCAAAGCAGTCTGCTGAGGAGGAGATTTGGTGCCCTGATGAAAAGTCTTCCTTTCTCCTTGACCACTAGAATGTACAAATTGTGTTTGCAAAATATAGTATGATGTGTTTATGTCTGAAAACTGTTGCGGAGTTATGTAAAGGGACTTGCGGGAAAATGCTGAACGGATGACGGGCTTGCTTTTAATTTCCACCATGGGAGAGAATATACATAAATTATGATATTTAGTATCTAAGGTTAGAAAAACTCACCCCCACATTAATATGGGTGTTGGAAACTAAGCTCCTTGGCTTTTATAGAACACAAAGAATCAGGAAACTTTAGTTATTTATAGAATAACCATCACTGTCTGTTTAAAGATTCATTTATTTAAAATCAGGCTCTGTAAAGTTCATCAACTAAAAGTTTCAAAAAAGGGAGATTTCATGTCATTATGCATGTCAGCCTGCTATTTAAAATGTATGACAAGCATTGTCATATTAAAGTGAATTTGGCAAGAATCCCCAAGATGGACATTGTGCATTTAAGCTAGAATCTGTAAGATATGTGAATTCCCACTTTACCAGTTGTTTTTGAAAGTCAAAAGAACATCTGAATAAATGCAAAAAATAATTTTCTTATTTTTCATGAAGTTTTTTTTTAAAACATACCATGAACATAATGGATCCAGAGTTTTCCATTTCAATTTAATCCTTGTAATAACACCACCGCCACACGTACAACGATGACCATCTTCAATGGAAGAACACAAAGGTATATGAAAAACTAACTGCTAGCTTTCCTTCCATCTCAAAAGTCTAAAAATGTCTGAGCTAGTTAGATTTTTAGCTCATATTCAAAGCTTACCCAAATAAAACTCTAGTAAGTGGCCTTGGCTTTTTTGTACACCAAAGAGCCCAAATAATTTCCATAGTCCTTTTCTTCTCAAAAGGCCTGTGGCTCCTCACGCATTCATTTATGACAGTCCACATGCACTGGTGCAGCCCCTCTCAGACTTCTGGTGCAATCAATTAGTAATAAAATCAGAGATTACTTTAACTGCCAAGAGGACTTGTATTGGTGTGTGACACTAATTATTTTTAGAAAAAAGTAAATTTTATATAGATTAATATGAGATAAATGTGTAGAAGGCAATGATTGATACATTTCAATCTAATGGTTTGATTTACCGATGTCTTCAATTTGCTTGGGTGGACAAAATGCTGTTTAATGAGCTTGAGCGCATGGTAATTGTGCTTTTGTTCTCATATCTAATAGCTGGGACTTAACACTCAAGGACAAGGTCTTATTTCATAACATCAAACAAATAAGTAAATTCAGTAAGTTATACAACCTGGCATGATAGGGGAAGGAAAAAGCATTGTGCCTATTAAATGTATTAGCTTATTGAAAGTTATCTGAATTGTCCATTTTGACAACACTAAAATTCAATAAAGTGCATGAACAATAGAAAATGCTGAACATTATTTTGGATACTAGCTGCTTGGGCGTTAACTGTGTCGTGTCTGCTTTGGGATTAAAACATGTATGTTGGCGCTTACTCGATCCCATGTGTACTGAATAGTTGTCTTTATATATTGTGGAAAATTCACATTATGATGATAAATTATGAAATCACCACCAAAACTGATATCTTTTAAAATGATCCCCGAATTCTGCCAATTCTAATTTATAATGAAATCTTTGCAACTCTTTAGTGGAAACCCAGACTATTACAAAATCGGCTTTGTGATAAATGGGGCCTTCCCAGTGAAACCAAAGGGCTCCTGGATACTGTATCATAATTTAATGTGCTTATGACCACACTGCCACTTTTTGACGTGTCAGAAGCAAGCTGATTTTAATACAATGAAAGAACAACTTACTACTCTTAAGAAGGATATTTATATATATGCAAAATAAAAAACATGGAAAACCCATATGAAGTATTTTATTTTGATAAGAATAAAAAAAACACGGTTCATTAAAGTACTTCAAAAAACTTTGTGGCACACTTTGGTGCTTTAATTCAATTGAAGTTATAATGAGTAGAAAAATACATTTAAAAATCTTAAGTATTAATTTTTTTCTGCAGCTATGTTTTAGTTTCAAATTTTAATTCCAATATGGGTTTTTAGCCATTTCCTGTGTATTTAAGAAATACACCCCCCCCCATAAGGTAGTTTGGCTGGGTGAGAGGTACAATGGGAAAGTCCTTCAAGTGCCACCACACTGCCATTAAATGATGTGATAAATTACCTCTTCTTTGGATCTCAATTTTTTATTTATAAGTACAGTGAAGTCGGAGGTCACACCTTAGAGTTGAACCCTTATTCCTATGAGTACATAGCTGACAAAGAAGATAAAAGAGAGCTGAAGCTATTTCATGCAAAATATCCAACCCTGGTCTCCGTGAATTAGTGTCTTGACCATAAAAAGTCATTGCTGTTCTTGTTTCTAATGTAAATAGGGTCCATTAGTAAAAGTGAAATTTTCAGTCTAAAGTAGGGTTAATTGGATAATTGTTTACGCAACAGATGGCTTTTACCTTTGCTTAAATAAACGTTTTGGATCTCCTCAGAAGAATGAAAAGCAGCAGTGCAGTTTAGTCATTTTAGTCTGGACGAGGTACTCTAAGATGTATGTGACATTTGGAAATGCACCAAATGAAGCATTTAAATGATTTCATCATATTGAAAGCTAAAAGCAGAAGATGTGAGATGCTCATGGGCTTTTGGGAATGCCAAATTTTCTAGAATAAATGAATAAAGAAGTAACCCATACATTACATTTTAAAATTGGGGGAAAAGGGAATTAAAATTTTTAAGTAAACCAGCTTATCTTTGGTTTATCTGTGGAGTTTAACCACACAACTTATGCTGTTGTTTCTGCCCATGATTAGTCTTGCAATGCCTTTGCTGATAAAAAAAAAAAATAGTGGTACTTTTGATTCATAACCAGATACTGATTTTAAAATGATCAGTGTTGAAATGGACACTTATGATCCTAAAATGTTTGCTAAGCAATGTCTATTTTTAACTGCCATCGCCAACTACATCCTTTTGATGTTTTTAAAAATAAACGTAGGGTAATTGCTTAAACTAAAAACTATGATATTTTCAATTACTTGATTTCTGAGCTACCAGATTCACTAAATAATAATGTTCCAATTGAAATATCCTGTTCTTCTCTATTCTAAGGAGTAATGTGTGATTATAGTGTCCACTTGCCACTGTTTTTTAAATCAATGGACTTGAAAGTTGTCCAATGTTTAGATGGATACACAGATATACTACTAGTTCAGTCATAGATTGGAGTTTGCATATTGTAATGTAAATGTATGTCAACACTATTCTAAATAGTTTTATTATGACTGAAGTTTAATTAAATAAAAGATTGTAAAATGTGATGTGTATGTGTATATACTGTATGTGTACTTTTTAAAATAGGTATATGTCCTGACCCTTTTTTATACAGGTTTGAATTTGAAATTACATTATATATACATATACTTTATTGTTCTAAATAAAGAATTTTATGCACTATCATCAGCTTGCCCTATTATTTGATATTTTAATGTTGACACATGTTCACAACACAATGAAATAATTTTTAAGATAAAATCAAATATTTTCAGTCTCTAGAATGAGTAAAGATAATCACGGAAGAGAGAGTTTATTGGCTAAATCCATTTTTTGCTCTCAGGATGTATATAACTTAGTTAGGAAATAATGTAAAGACCACTGTAATATATGTAAGGATACTCTCAAGTAACTACTAATGCACAAAATCAAAGTCTAGTAAATGTGCTTAGGGGATGCGTGAAGAGAAGCAGATCACGGAGGATTCAATGTTTAAGCTAAGACTCATAAGCATCAGAGAAATTTTGAGAAAGCAAGATTATGCCAGTTTTAGCAATGTTTTCCAAAGCAAGAAGCTGTAAAACTTCTCAGCTTATTCTGTTAACTTGAACAGGTGTCTCCTTACTATGTCTTATAAAAAGATTTACAGCAATGCCACAACACAGAAGGCATACACTCTGCTTTGGGTACACAAGAAACCAGTCTGTGTTTCTAATAAGCAATATTCAAACTCAAAAGCAATAATGGTTTCTCTGTTTAAACTTTTTATTATTTATTTGAGAGGCAAAGCAAGGGTGGGTGAGGATGGGAATGGAAGAGAGAGAAATTTCTGTCTGCAACAGCTAGGACTGGCCCGGGCTGAAGCCAGGAGCCGAGGACTACAAAGGTGGCAACTGCCAGTTTAGACAACTATTCTTCTATCACCCCCTAGTTATTGGACTCGGTACCACATGTCCCAAAGTTAGGACGCCAATGTACTTCCCCATCTGTCGTGTGTGTGTGTGTGTGTGTGTGTGTGTGTGTTTTCAAAAGGCAGAGAGATCTGCCATCCTCCAGGTTTATCATACCAATTCATTTATCCACCATTTCTTGTCATGTATATTATTTGCAAGGTAGAGAGGCAAAAAGATATTTCCACTCGTTCAAACCCCAATGCCCACAACAGCCAGGGGTGGGTCAGGCTAAAGCTAGGAGCCAGGAACTGAGTCCAGTTTTCACATGTGGCAGGGACCCAAATACTTGCACCTTCATCTGTTTTTCGCCAGAATGTACGTTACCAGGTAGCTGGATTATATGCCAAGGAGCTGGGACTCAAACCAAGTATTGCAATATGGAGTGTGGACATGCCAATGTGACATCTTACCACTAAGTGAATTACCTGCCCCAAAATTATTTTTTTAAATGGTTATAGTCAATTTAAAATATATACAAAAGTAAACAAAATGATTAAATTAAATCCCACATTACCATAAACCCGCTCCAAACATACCCAACTCTTCAATAACGTTGTTTTAAATCATTAGCAATTAACCTTTTCCACCTAAATTTCAATTATTTTATTTTCAATAAAATACCTAAACTATTTCATGTGTATTTTTATAAGCATCAGTGAATGATTTCTGTTTACAAGCACACACACGCTAGTCTTGTTACATATAAGAAAAAGATTACTAACTGGAAAGAGTCAACAGTTTCAATTGTCTCATACAGTACATTGCATTATGATGTGAGAAC